ATTTGTTATTCCCTCAACTCCAGACATTACTGATGATAAGATGCACCATCACTTTAGTATTTGGAGTAAAAGAAACCTTATTGCATTAAGTAAAACCATGGATTACAGTGTATAGAAATGTAAAATGTGAGAAAATATATTTGTCTTGGAATTCGAAAAATATGGTTTGGAGCATAACCCTTTATCATTACGAGGAAATAACACAGAAGTGTATACTTTGTACTTTTGATGGCGACACCTTTAATTTAATACATATTTTATTAGATCTAAAGCTCACTGTTTATATGAGACTAAACTCCTTGCCCCCTATACTGAGATAGTATTCATTCATTTATATATTTATATTATTTTAAATATATAATATGTTGTATTTATAGGTGATACACTTCATAAACATACAGTTGCATATAAATATAGTTGCCCCTTGAATAATATGGGTTTGAATGGCATGGGTCCAATTATATGTATTTTTTCCCCACTAAATATCTACTACAGCACTTTATGATCAATGGTTGATTGGAACCAGGGATAGGGAGGAACTGAGGGTAACAGAGGGCTGTATAATTGGATTTTTGACTGTCTGGAGGGTTGACACTACTAACCCCCTGCATTTTTCAATATACACATTATATATTCATGCATATAAATAAATACATAAATATAAATACCCATACATATATTTATATTATTATTCATATAGATATCCCCTTTTCATGTACTGATAAGGGAGAAACAGTAAATATAAAATTAAAATATATGGTAGTGATAAGTCTACAAAACAGAAACAAGGTAATCTGCTCATGAGTACCTAACAAGACAAGCAATCCACTTTGGAATTGGCCTGGGAACCCTCTGAGGAGGTGAGCTAAGACCCTGATGAAGAGCTGTCTGGAGAGGAAGCCACGGGGCCGCGTGTCCCAGGCAGAGGGAACAGAGTGAGAGGTGCCAGGCAGAAAGGAAACTCATATCTGAAAACAACCACAGTCAGCACGGAAGCCAAAGGGTCTGGAGTCGGAGAGCGAGGCGCTAACGCGACCTGAGCTCAGGAGGGTGGGGGAGGGAGAGATGGCAGAGGGGCTTGAAGGCTCCGGCGAGGAGGCTTTATTTTATTCTATAATCAATGAGGAGTAATTGGGGAGCAGAACAGAATGACGATCTATTTTGTTTTGCACTAAAGAAGTGTTTTTTGGATAGTTCCGTGTGTCCTGAAGGGGGAGAGAATGGAGGTGGAAAGCCCGGTTTGGGCGATACTATAGGACAGAGGTGATGGTAGCGTGGCCGCAGGGAGCGTGGAGATGGTGGGACAGGATCAGGACACGTTATGGGGACACAACCTGCTGATGTACTGTTGTCTGAGTGGCGAAAGAGGAATCAAACAGAATTTTGACCTGGCAACAAGGTGGGTGGCGCTGCTACTTTCTGAGATTGGAGAAGAAAGGCTTTTTTGGCGGAGGGGAGGAGAAGTCATGACTTCTACTTTGATCAGCCTGTGACACATTTTGAGGATAGTTTTGAGGAACACCTACGACACATTTCAGTAGAAATCGCAATGGGTCTAGAAGTCACATAAAACAAAGATTTTAATGTTTTATGTTGGCTGTTGAAAACGTGAGATATTGTTACTGAGACGAAAAATTATTTAAAAAGTTAATTCTGGAAAACTACCATTCTGATTCCTGAGTTCTTGTCTTTAATAACAGTTCGATAAGGAATATTGTTTGTTGATAGGGCACTATGTGGTAAGACACATTTGAAAGATACTTTTTAAGAAATGTTTATAACATGAAAGTGCTAGCTGCTCAGTCATTTCCTACTCTTTGTGATCCCATGGATTGTAGCCCACCAGGCTCCTCTGTCCATGGAATTTTCTAGGCACGAAAAATGGAGTGGGTAGCCATTTCCTTCTCCATGAGATCCTCCCGACCTAGGGATCGAACCCAGGTCACCCACACTGGGGGAAGATTGTCTACCATCTTAGCCAAGCAGTAGGAAATATTATGTGTGTGTGTGCAAGCTTAGTCACTCCATCATGTCTGACTCTTTGAGACTCCATGGACTGTAGCTAGACAGGCTCCTCTGTCCATGGGATTTTACAGGCAAGATTACTGGTGTGATTTGCCACTCCCTTTTCCAGGTGATCTTCCTGACCCAGGGATCGAACCCAAATCTCTTATGTCTTCTGCATTGGCAAGTGGATTCATTACCACCAGTGCCACCTGGGAAGCCCCAGGAAATATTACATAAACTCTTATTACTATTATTCCCTCAACTCTAAGATAAACAGATGATAAGATGTGCCATCATTTTAGTATCAGGAGTAGAAGAAGCTTTATTGCATTAAATAAACCCATGTAATCAAAGATTTATTTCTGTAATAATGGCATTTGAGCTACTACCTATAGGCCAATGGGTATTCCAAGTGTTAAGTCCAAGATAGCAAAAGAATGAGAGATCAAAACTTAACAGATTGTTTTCTGGTAAATGTTTGCAAGACTGCAGGGTGCACAATAAGTTCTTTCTAAAATATATTATGATCCAGACAGAAAATAGCACATTCCTTGGAGTTCTTACAGGTGTATCATATTTTGTTAATATAGAAATAACTTTAGACTGACAGGAATAATGAACCACAAGGCTCAGTAACATGGGCCTGTTTACAATACCAAAAATATGAGGTAGTCAAACTTAAGCAAGTGAGGATACCAGAGCTTTTATTTATATAGTACAATACATGTACAGAGGCTTTCTAAGAGGTCGATGGTGCCAAAACCAAAGATACAAGAAGCCAATTGTTATAATTGGGGTTCCGTGGGGAGCCAACTGCAATGGAGATTTGTGTGCAGTTGGTCTACTGGGAGCGGTCTTGGGAAAGACACTTCTAATGGGACAGGGGATACAGGACTGTGCAGAGAGGGGCTGAATGCCAATGCAGCTGCAACAGAGCCCTCAGCCACACTCACACGGAGCTCCCGGGTAGGGTGACTCTTTTGAGATGTCTTGGACTGAGGTGAGGGGCCCGAGGTTTTGTAACTGCCTACTGACTGGTGACTGGATGGGAAGCAGCTTCCCGCAATTGAGGGTAATCTCCCAGGAGTGGTAATCTCCACTGCAGTGGGTGTGGGTTCAAACCCTGGCTGGGGAACTAAAATCCTGCATGCCGTGTGGGCCCAAGCAGTGAATAATACAACCAGCAGCAGGGGAATGTGTGTCTCAGTCCTAAAAGGGGGTGCTGGGGCGCAGCCTGTGTGCTACTCAGATCTGCCTGCCTTGTATTCCCTACCCGAAAATGACTCCCTTAGGATTCTAAGATGAACTATACCCCCGACCAGAGCCTGTAGTCTCAGGACTGGAACTGATACCACCTCCTTCCTCTACTATGCCTTCTGGATTCCTCAGCTTCAGCCTGCCCTCTGTTTGCCTAGGCAGTTTACCTAGACTTTACCTTTGACTCACATGTTAACTCTGAAAGGTCACCCTGCCCTGCTCAGGTCATAGCTGGTGTACGGGTCCATTGATTTTCAAATGAATGACTCCTTGGGGAAAGCATTTCCTGACCTGCTAGTCACTTGGTTGAGCCCAAAGTGACTAAGAAGCAGTTTAAAATATGGTAAGACTCTTTCTCTCTCCCTCTCATGAAAGCATTCTGTCTTAATCAATGCCAGGCAAGAAGAATTGTTGTCATCAACAGAGATCAACACTGAATTCCTGGAATGGCACTATCTCTTGAGGAGATGAAACTCTCTTTGGTGACATGTCTATTATCCTGACTTCTTTTCTTCTATTCTGGAGTCAGCTCTATTTTACTACCTGTTGCAGAATGGAAGAGGTCCAATGCCATTGATTGCCACCACATGATGTTTTAATTCTCCAGGAGATGATAACACTGTTGGGGTTCAATTTTAGTCTTTGTTGCTGGCAGATAGTCCATTCAGGAGCAGAGTAATTAGATAACCCATAGTGAGTGGGAAGTCTATGCTGCTTGGATCATCATCTCCTCCATTCCTGCGAATACGGCTGCTCTGTTCACACAAATATTGTTTCAGCATGGGGGTGGCTGATGATGTAGACTGTATAATGTCCCCTGGCCAAGTCATCTTGTCACTGTGTTGACCAGAGCCTGTTCTGGGGTGCCCGATCTCTGGTGGGCATCAACACAGGCTGTCTACACGCCTCTTTGCCTCACTGTCCCTGATTTTTCAACTTTCCTCCTTCCAGGCTCCTGACCAACTATCATTTGCCACTTTGGGGTAATTTACTTGCCCCAGGCCACTTCCAATAGATGACCAGTAGCATCATCTGAAGCTCCAGTGGGAGACTCTCCTCACTGATGTCTTTTATGTCTACCTTGAAAGTGCAACGGTGGTTTAGTTGCTAAGTTGTGTCTGACTCTTGTGACCCCATGGGCTGTAGCCCGCCAGGCTCCTCTGTCCATGGGATTCTCTAGGCAAGAATACCGGAGTGGGTTGCCATTTCCTTCTCCAGGGGCTCTTCCCAACCCAGGAATTGAACCCAGGTCTCCTGCACTGCAGGCAGATTTACCGACTTAGCTATAAGGGAAGCCTATTGAAAGTGCAATGTTCTGACAGCAAATGCAATAGTCTTTCTACATTTATGGTTCTCTATTTGCTCTCCCACCTTTTTTTCTTTTAAACCTCTTACACCTGCTGGAGAGCCACAACTGTGTGCTGTCTTTTCAGTCTCAGTGCCTGGCACAGAGGCTCCCTCAAGTTGCAGCACCTCTTATGCTACTGTCTTCTCGCCCCGAGGTTTCCCTCTACAATTCAAAGCCACCACTGAGGTCCAGGTGGAGCCGACCTTGTTTTCTGTTTTGAGGACATATGCTGGTTTGGAGCTTGGGCAAAAGGGGAAGGTTGTAGTTCTTGCAAGTCAGCTCAGATCAGCTTGGAGAGTCCCAGGCACGCTGAGGGGTCCTTCTGCCGTGGATTCATGGAGATGCGCCAGCAGCCCTTGAACTGCGGTCCTCACTCCGCGGCCCGGCCATGACTATCCCGTGCGGGTCTTCACCCCAGCCTTTGGGCCGGTGCTCCCGGAATCCTCAGAGGTGGCTTGCAGTTTTCCACGAGCCCCGGCACTGGGCAAAGCTGCTCTCTGCCGTGCACTGTGACCCCTCTTTTCTGAAGCCTCTAGGCCCGTCCTGCCTCAAACTTTTCTATCACCAGTTCTATTTTTATGGCCGGAACTTGATTATTTGCTTCCCTCAGGCCTGCTCTTTTGAGTCTCTAGAGACTGTTTTAGAAATTAAAAACAAATACCCCAAATTGACTTCTCCTCAAGGCTATGTGCTTGCCTCCAGCTGACTGGGGGGAAAGTCACCGAGTTCAGAAGAAAAACACAAATATTCCCCAACACTATCTTGCCGCATGCCAGTCTCATTATAAACAAATACCTGTGACATGAATGAGCAGCGGATGTGTAGTGAGTTGAGAGGAAGTGGCAAAGGAATATCAAGGTTTTGGCTGGGGAAGTATTTTTCAACTCTAGACTTTCTTTTGGGGTTTACTTGGTGGTCCTTCTGCCACTGGTTGATAATCTCTGTGAAAACCTCTTGGCTAGAAACGGAGTAAGCTGGAAGATTCTGTTAAACACTGAAGCAAAGAAAGCTCTGGTTTTTAGGTAACCAGATTAGAGAAGGTGCAGGGTGGGTAAGCCAAGCATCCACCTCTCTGCATGGCCTTTCAGGAGTCACATTTTTGCCCGGAGTGGGAAAGACAGTGGCTTTATCCTTAGGCTTCTCAGCCTCCTCCACCAGGAGCCTTTCGCTGTCACTACCCTTTCCTCGGGCCAACACTGCCTCTGATGGGATTACCCTCCCCAGCTCCTGGAATCAGGCCCCATGGTGGCTTGAGGCCCTCTGACTCTTTGCCCAGAGAGCCTGGTTGTGGACGGGCCACACGTGCCTCTGCCCCCTGATTCCTCCATCCTTCACGGCACGGCCACACGAGGGGCAGACCGAGCGGATAACTGCAGCAGGAAACGGCGAGCCCCGAGCCCGTCGAGGAGATCGTCTCAGGTCACAACGTGGTCTTACTTCTCTTCAGGTCTCTCGGGAAAACTGGGTGCTTTATTTCCCTTCCCTGGGACACATCATCAGCCTTCAGAGGACCTGCTCCTTACGTGAGAGGTTTGGTCTGCTCTCCGATCCCATCCTCCTCGGTCCTTACCCGCTTCCCTTCCTTCTGTAATACAGAGATTCATTTCCAAGACTCTGACGTGACCGCCTGTCAGGACGTCTTGATACCTCTTAATCTGGGGTCCTCGGTGTCCCAGGGTGTCTCTGGGGGGCCAAGGGGGAAAAAAAATCAGCTCTCCAGCCATATTTATCTCATTTGTAGATGGCGGAAAATCCCTGGTCATTCCCAAACCTCCGCTAATGGTTTTTAGTGGGCGACAGCGGAAGTTTTCAAAGGATTTTTCAACATGCCACTGGAGGAAAGAGGGTGAGAGGAAGAATAGAAAACTCGCTCTGCCCTTTGATGAAGGCTTCACCCTGGCAGGGGCGGGCTTTCGTTCTGTCGCGCAGGAAGGGCTCTGGCATGCTGATGGTTGCCTAGCTTTGTTCCTGTGTGAATTTCTTTCATTCTCTTTAAAGATGTTAGGGTCAGGTGGAGAGTGACCCCCCGCACCTCCTCTCCCCTCCCCTTCCTCTACTGCCCAGAAGTCTGGTTTTTTAAAGCAAGCTCAGGTATTTCACCAAGTGATGCATCCCCAGTGGGGAAAAGTCACAGCTTTATTGATCACTATCTTGGTATAACGTCCATAATTGGAGCTTCCCTGTAACTTGGTGCCAAGCTGCCTCACCATGTTCTCTAGGGACTATATATCAAATGCTATTTTTCATGCTCCTGTTTGCTGATAAGGGTTTGATAAAACCACTAGTTTGCCCTGATATTAGGTTTCCAGAGATGAAAGCACTGGTATAGACTGCCAAATGTCCTCACATACACTGACAATCCATACCAATATTTTAAAAGAAATGTGGGACTCGGGGTGGGGGGGAAATATCTTTAGGTTTGGCTGTGTGTGTTTTCATCCCCTCCCTTCAGCATGTATCTTTATTCATTGCAAACAATTTTTAATCAATAATTAAAAGTGGTAAACAGGTCTACAGGGGGAAAAAAATCCTTCAGTTCGAGCTTAATATATTGCCTCTCCCAGCCCCTCCCTGGCACAGCAAATTACTGAGGGGTCTGCCAGTAAGTAGGGAAGGATGGGGTTGACTAAAAAGTAAAACCGCACGAAAGCTGACATCCTGTTGTGAGTTTAAAAATAAAGCAAAATGACTATTAGCAATGCGTGTTGATTTCTGTCAAACTATCTTTATCTGTGTGGTAAGGACAGAGAAATAACGCAGGACTTCTTGTTAGAGTAACTTTGGGCTTTATGGGAATGCATGATTTTTTTTTTTTTACCCTCAAACTTCGATCTTTTTTGTTTTCTTAGGATGTTTCTTCCTCCCGTGGAGACTCAGGAGACACCTATTAGTCAGTCTGGGGCCTCCAGGTATCTGAATTGCTGCAGGAGGAGAAACACATGTCTCTCCTTTCGTGGAGATTTGTTGCATGTTTACCAAGGTGAAAGGATTAGTGCCTGGGAGATCATTTGCTTTCACAAGCTTTAAAGGCGGCGAAAGTCTCATGCCTTGATTCTCTTCCAACAGCTCTCTCTCGCAGCAAGGCAGAGAGGAGCAAGCTGAGACCTACAGATTTGCCAGCAGACTTTTCCAGCAAAATTGCCCCATCTCAACCAGTTAAACTGGGTGGGAAGGGAGAGCTCCTGCCAGCTTTCTCCCATCTCTTCCACCATGTGGAGAGACACCCGCAGCATTCCAGAGGGCTTGATAATCAAGATGAAATACTCCAGATTGCTAAGTCTCCATAATACCCAAACCCCAGACCGTATGTATGGATAATTCATGTACTCCTTAACCTTTGCATTTTGCATGTAACCTCCCTGTCAAACACTGCCTTTCTGGTGCTTCATATAGGGTAATAAAAAATTAAGAAGAAAACTGAAGTGAGGCACTCTTTCCATTTAGTGTGAAAAGAATAGCAGTGGGTATAGAAACTAAAAGTTTTGCTCTCCAGCATTTTATAGCAGGTACTTTCCCATATGACTGACATCTAAAAGATAATGACTGAAAATGTTGGTTTTGAAATGGAATATAATAGAAGCTAGACTGACAGCTGCAAAACAAACCATAACCCCAAAGCTAGACTGAAACAAACTCAAAGCCAGGTAAAATGCAAGGAAGCCCCGGTTCCCAAATTACTTGAGAAGTAAGATAGGAAAATAAAAACAAAAATAAACGAATTTCTACTCTTCATATTCACCTTCTTTTTTCCCACCCCTCCCCCTGGAAGTTAGGGTGTGGCAGGAGTGACTTTGCCCTTTTGTTAATGCATTTATGAGGTAATGGACATCACTATCTTTTACAAGGCAGTGATCTAATTCCCAGATAAACTGATTAAATGACAGTCTCTATTTTGAGCACTGGAAACAAGGAAACTACGAAAAACTAAAACAAGTTTTCACTGTGAATTCACAGATGTCCCCTCTTCATTTTCTTATACCAGCACAGGACTGTTATCTTCAGAATAACCAACATCAGAAACTCTAAACATTAAACTGAGATCCCATTGATCAATTCTCCCTTTGGACAATTTAAAGATCTGTGAATTATCTACCACCCCACTCATCTGCAAAGAATGACTTCACCTTGCATTTCATCTCTAGGGGAACTATGTAAGGTCTCTTTCAAATCTTTGCTGCAAAACCTACAAAGCCATTTAATACTGCCCACCCCTCACTTCTTTCCCTCTGTGTAGAATTTTGTTTTTAGTCGGTAAGCTGTGTCTGACACTTTTGGGACCCCACGGATTGTAACCCGCCAGGCTTCTCTGCCCTTGGAGTTCTTTAGGCAAGAATACTGGAGTGGGTTTCCATTCCCTTTTCCACGGGATCTCCAAACCCAGGGATCCAACCCACATCTCTCAGGTCTCCTGCTTTGGCAGGCAGACTCTTGACTACTGAATCACCAGGATAGGGAGACTATTATTTCTAAAGCTTCCCTTGTCTTTGTTTTGGTTGGTTGGTTTAGTCGCTAAGTCGTGTCTGACTGTTTGCGACCCCATGGACTGTAGCCGCCAGGCTCCTCTGTCCATGGGATTCTCCAGGCAAGAACACTGGAGTGGGTTGCCATTTCCTTCCCCAGGGGATCTTCCCAACCCAAGAATCAAACCCTGGTCTCCTGCGTTGCAGGCAGACGCTTTACCAACTGAGCTACGCAGGGTCTCTTTCTCCTCTGTTTCTTGGCTACTGTTCTCTTTTTATTCCTTATCTTAAATCTTTCACCTTGTCCAGGAGCCTTTCATCAGTGTTTACATGTTGGTATCTCAAACATAAGTAAACAAACATTAAACAAATTATTTTTTCTTGACTGTAGTTCACAGTCCTTGCTTTTCTCCTTCCTTTCATAGTTACACTTCTCTAGAAAGTTGCTCTTCCTCAGTGACCTCAAGTCAAATCTGCATTTCAGCAATGGTCAGGTTATTTGGTAGACACCTGTGAGCCTGGCAGGCTTCCCTACTGGCTCAGTGGTAAAAAAAAAAAAAATCTGGTTACAATGCAGGAGACCCAGGTTTGATCCCTGGGTTGGGAAGATCCCCTGGAGAAGGAAAATGGCAACCCACTCCAATATTCTTGCAGGGAGAATCCCATGGACAGAGGAGCCTGGTGGGCTACAGTCCATGGGGTTGTGAAGAGTTGAGGACAACTTAGCGGCTAAACCAAACCATGTCGGCTCTGATCCTTAGAGACAAATAAGGCTTCTTGGCTCCTCTTTATAACCTCCCTTCCAGGTGGTGAGATACAATGAATGCAGTCTTAGTTTGAAATCTGCTACTTATACAAATATTTTTTAGAAATTAGGTACAAAATTCATAGAACCAGTTCTCATAAAATCAACTAAGTCCTTAATTGCTGTCCTTTGGCAGCAATTTACCCTAAATTTACCCTAAAGCAGACACTGAGATTAACTGCAGAACTTCTAGCTGGATTAGGCATTATAGTGCCATACAAATGGGGGTGGGGGCAAAGGAGCAAATTGAGTTATAGATCCAGGCTCTAGTTAAAAGATATTAGGCTATTTATTAGGTTGGCTGGATTCTTTCATTTCTTTGTGGTGGGGGTGGCAGAACCCACATAATCTCTTTTGTTTCCCAAATATCATGAGCACTACTCATCAAACACACAAAAATTTATTTCTAACAGCCATTATGTTAGTGAACTATCTAGGATAGATAGTGATGATATCTGAAATGCTTGCCTAGATCCCTCTGTAATCTAGATTCCTGGCTAAATTCTCCAAGTGCTCACTAACCTCGCATTGGGGTCTGATTAAAGCTAACTGATACACATAAATCATACTACTTATTTTGAAAAACTTTAAAGTATATTGGTATCTAGTTGTCCAATGTGCATCTTTCTCCCTATTTCTGTGTTTTCACTACTCACAGCTCAACGCATGCTCGGCTGGCTTCTGTCTCCATATCTAATGAACTGGTTCTAAGGTCATTACAAACCTGCATGTCAAAAAATCCAGTGGACATATTTTATTCCTCATGGCACGTCACTGTTGGTTCCATTGAGCACTGTTGATCACTTCCATTCTCTAAATACCGCATGGTACAGGTTTTCTCCTGCCCCCCTAAGTCAAGTCCTGACCTCCTTGGCTGGCCCCTGAGGCAAAGAGGAGAAAGAACTAGCAGAATGGGCCATTTCCCTTGGAGGACTGCCCTGGATTACCTCATATGTTAGTATCTATTGCTCCCACCAGAAGATAGTAATCACAGCACCAAGCTCTTGTGTGTTCCAAATACCAAGATCAACTGGATGCCGAGGAACCAAGAAAGGAGTCGGAGCAGGACTGGCCGTGGAGGCAGGAGGCAAGTCGTCAGGGCGGAGAGCGGGAAGTGCGCTTCAGGCCCAGTGAAGCAGACAGCGTAGTAAATGCCGCTGAGGACCTGATGAAGATGCAGTCAACGAGTGGCCACAGAATTGGCAACGTGGAGCTTGTCGGAGGTGGTCGTGACAACGATATCCATGCAGTGGTGGGTACAGAAGGCAAATGGCTGGTTAAATGAATGGGAGTTAAGAATGTGAAAACTTCTGAAAAAGTTTCCTATGGTTTGGAGCAAAGCAATGGAGTGACAGTTGGAAGGATTGGAAGGGACTATAGGACCAAAGAAGACTAAGGGAAAACAAAAACCAAAAAAACAACGCATAAACAAGACTGGAGCATGCTTGTACATTGATGAGAAGGAGCCAGTCCCGGAGAAGAAGCTGGTGGTGGAGTAAAAAGAGCACCGAATCCTAGATAGGATGAAGGGGTTGGATCTTATACTAGGAGAAGGATTGCTCCCTGAGAGCGCCAGGGCCGTCCTTCCAATGTAACAGGAGTGAAGAAAGAAAATGGCTAACTTTGCAATTTTAGAGCTGAGATGAGTAAGGATCTAATAATTTTTAAAATGATCGGGAGCTTCAAAGAGTTAGAAGGAAGAAATCATCCTTTATAAAAATTGTGTGTAGATACCTTGTCAGAATGCTGTAAGTGGTTGCTGCGATGGAAAGACTTTCTGTACGTTATACAAAAGTATAATAAAGAATATTGGTGTGTGTGTGTGTGTGTGTGTGTGTGTGTGAATGTGGTGTGAGATGCCTGTAGATTTTGCACTATGACTTAGTTAAGATATGCACGTTGTCATTATTTTAAAAATTTTGCTGTGTGATTTGAAAGGCACCAATTTCAATGGAAGATAATAACAAAAAAGATGATAGTAACAAATAACTTGATTCAATAAAGGCACTTTCTTAACTGCGAAGCCAAATGATAAAAATAGTGATATGTTGACTGACCCCATGCTATTCACATAAGAACCACTCTGGCAGTTCAGCGTTGGATGGGCTGGTTCTATCAGGAGAGTGTGCCTTGCTCTGCCTGTGAGGACTTCAGCTCAAAGGATGAAGTACAGTGTTTTGCAACTTTGTAAACAAAACAGTTTTTCTACAAAATTCACCACTGTCATCACACAGAAGCCCCCTGAAGGAAGGCTTTTTGATGAGAGATTAAAAATACCAAGTGTCATTGGACACATCCATGCTTAAATACTTTAAGGTATCCTGCTCTCAAATTTTGGATTCTTCATGTTCCTTTAAATAGAAACAATTATCTCATTGAATTTTGCAAATCATGGCATTTCCACTACCATTTGGGAGAAATGGAGCCAGTGTTTAGACTGTCATGCACGAACTTCTACGAATGTATTTTTTTCTCAAAGGTAACTCGATATTCATGTTACTACTACTTTCCCTTAGAAAAAGAAGTCTCCCTGTCATAATTATAGGCTTAGAGCAAACAGTAGGGAAGAAACACAGAACTTTGTAAACATTATGGAAGAACCATGCCAAGTACATGCATAAGATATGGGAAACTCTGGGTTAAGTGTTCTTAAAAGGATGTCTAAGGAGTATTTTTGAAAATAAGGCTTAAAAAAATTTGTTTTTAAAGGAAGTATTAGCTTGTTTGGTTGTACAGATAATCTTCCCTTCCTAAATCAGTGCCTGGCCTCCATGGCCCAGTGGACTGAAACAAAAGGTGAGAAGTTTTTCTCATCCATCTTAATGGGGTGTTAATGACTGTGGAGGCTGACTGTGACCATTTAAATGTGAGCGCTATTAATCACCTAGAAAAAACACAAACATCCATCTGGGGCCACTGAAATGTAATTGCAAGGGACAGTTGGGTCCAGTTTTGTTTTTGAATGCAGAGTTGTATTTAAAAAAATGAGCTGCCCACCCTCCCAAGCAAGTTTGGCAGATTTAAAGCTAAGCCAAATAGCCAATGGCCTTCTAACCTTCTATTGAAATTTAAAGAGCTGGTTTCTCCCCTGAATTTAGTCACTTAGCCATTCTTTGTCCAATGAATAACTGTTATCAGTGGTGCAAATTGTACCAGGCAGTCATTTGCCAAATTATATTTCCTTAAGAGAACTTTTCACGTACCCTTTGATTTGGATGTGAGTGTGTTTTTAAATCAAGGGTAATTAATTACTAATTAATTAAAATAATTTTCTATTTCCACAGCTTTCTTGCTCTGACTTTTCTTGTAATGAACTTGTCCAGTCTGTCTGGAACTACTGCTTTTCTTTCTTTCTTGAAGAGGGGAAATCATGGCTTTCTCATTGACAAAGTTGACAATATTTGCAGAAATTAAAAATCTGGGGAAGAATGTCTTAGTGTTGGTGTTTTGCAGAGTGTGGGCTGATGGGAAAAAAAAATGGAGGCGTGGACATATACCACTCTGTGGGAAATCAGAGGCTCCTTTCTTTTAATCTTATTGTATCTATTAATGTGTCAAATTAACAGAAGAACAAGCGGTACAAAGTTTCTGCCAAGGATTGTGCAGTTTAGTGTGTGTTTCTGGCCGCCTGTTCATACATTGCCTGAAGTCTGAGATTGGTCATCAGGAGATGGTTTATTTATTTTTGTGCCTCTGTAGACAGCATTAAGACTATGCCAGAGTGCACCATTTGGCTTCAGAATATGGGGACATGGAGGCAAGGGGGACCATACTTGTTCCACTGTGCTTTGCCTGTGACATTACATTTGTCCAGCAATAAGTATCTCTGGGAATGACGACCTGGCCTGGCCTGATCTGACCCTGCTTCATGTACAAGATGCAAGTTTTGGAGTGTATTTATCTCAACTGTCAGACATGTTGGTTTTTATTTTTTGACAGGAGCAGCCAAGCCACTTTTGGTTTCACCACTTCTTAAATTTGCACTTTGCTTTGTTGCCTGGGGCAGAAGGTACTTGGAAAGCTAACAAAGGAAACAAAATACTCCAGTTGCCTCTAAAGTTAAATAAAATACTTATCTGTGGGTTAGGCCTTTCTCTCCTCCCTGTCCCAATAGAGAGAGGCAGAAAAGCTGTGGATTTAATAAGGCTAACATTCTAGGTTTGGAAAAGGTCAAGTGACCACAAATGCCTGATAAAGTGTTTGCTTTTTTTGCATATAATATTTGAATTTTAAAATATGATATTTAAAGCAATTATTCTTCAGAAATCCACTAACTACAGATGAGTAGGTCCTAAAGGGCTAGAAATGCTCAGTGCTCTGCAAGAATTGTCACTGGCGCTGTCATTGAGACTTCAGGGAGGGTCTGAAACGTAAGACATTTAGGGTATTACCATCCCCTTCCCTAGACTACATGTGGGTGGGGAGAAAAGGCAATTTGAACCCTTACCAAATAACATGAACATATACACAAAACACAGGCTAGGTACTGCTGTTTGTCTTCTCCAATTCTCTAGTACGAAACTCAGGGGTGAATCTTTGGAAAAATAATAAACACTACCCTGATCATCTTCCTATTGTGGGTTATCAGTTAGACTTTGTTGAGTCGTTCCGAACTGAGATATTTGGAGAATTCAACATTGTTCTTCTATTTCCAAGTTGATTTTTAAAACTTCTGAAATTCCTTCTCCTAAAACTACCTGTGTGTAAAGACAGTTATATAGAAGGAAGATGGAGAAAACTGATTTAGCTTTTCCACCAGAAGCCCTGGATTCAAATATTCCTTGGCTTTGATTCTGGCTCTGCAACGGCCTCACTGTGTGGTCTTGGCAAGACATTATGTTTTTGTCTCAGTTTCCCTACCTGTAAAAAGTGATTAATTACATTAGCTTACTCAGTACGTTTTAGCCTTGAACACCAAATGAAGGATTGCAAAGTGCTGAAAACTACAGGAGATGGTAGACATTCCAGCATTACAGTCTTATTCTCTTACAAGGTGTGATAAAGTAAAAGTGAGGTTTCATTAGTTCATATGAGCAAATTGAAATCCCTAGATGAAAGGGGCTGGAGAAATTCAAAGTCATTTTATGATAATTAATAATAGGTGGCGTACTTCTCCCTTTCACCTTCCTCATCTAATCAGCATACATTCCTTGGTTTAAGGGGAGTGTTCTTTCTCCAAATAACTTTTATCTACAGTGTTGAGACATTCCTTAACATGCTTTATGGATATGGAGTTTTGAATGACTGGAAATAACTCCCTTTTTCATAAACTCTTTTTTTTTTTTTCAAGAAGAGGAGGCTCTGGTTCCTGGGACCATGAAAATCTATTTATGAGACTCCTTCACAGATTCTGTTCCTCTTTGTGAGACCAAAACCTCCTTGATTGCAGGTCTGTGTTCATTCCAGGCACTGTTAAGCAAGTTTCACTCTGTCTACATGGAGAGAATAAAACAGAGAGAAGGGAATGGCAACCCACTCCAGTGTTCTTGCCTGGAGAATTCCAAGGATAGAGGAGCCTGGTGGGCTATAGCGCATGGGATTGCAAAGGGTCAGACATGACTGGGCGACTTTCACTTTTACATGGAGAGATTCCACTTTTACTTATAAATTATTTTATTTAGTGTATTTACAAATTTTAAAATTTTATTTATGTATTCACAAATACATATACATGTATAAATATATATGTACAGTCTCAGATTATATCTCTAGTTTTAACACAAAACCTCTGTTAAGTCAGAATAATAAGTGGAGGGCATATATACTTAACTTTAAAATACTTAAGAATTTGCAAGGGTTGAGAAGGGAGAGCAGACATCTCAAGTGAAAGGAACTTGGCATATCTCTGACAAAAGTGAGCCTCACCTGGCTGAGGGGATGAGACGGTATGGAGCCAGCTTTGGCTTTAGCCAGAGTAGTCGGAGTGAGAATTGGCAAAGCTAAATACTTGGCTCCAAGCACCTTAATTCTGGGTCTTTCACCCTGCCTAGTGAAAACTGTACTGCATAAGTGTAAAGTTTGTTTGTACAAAAGAGTAAGCAATGATTTACCAAAGTAATATCTGGTGGGAAGTTTACGGACTCTTCTTCAAGACATCAATAAAGATAGTTTTTTTTTTTTTTTTAATCACTCTGAACTATGCTGAAATTACGGGGACTAGACTGTATAGTCCATGGTGTCACAACGAGTCGGGCACGACTGAACGACTTTCACTTTTTCATCTAACAAATAGATAAGAGATACCACGACCATTTAGATGACTGGAATTAAGTAATGAGAGGAAAA